GAACCAAATTTTAGTTTTATTTGGACACTGTTAGTTACACAGTTCAAAGTACGTTGTTTGTTAACATTTACTATTTACCGCACACTACAATTATTTAGCTATCAGATATTTAGATTGTTCAAAATATTTTATATCGAATTATTTCATTTGCTTTGATGTTCATTCGTAGCAATTGCGTTTTCACTTTATTAAGCACAAAATTTCATTGTACTTTTAAAAATCTTTAAAATTTTACACACTACTTTAATGCATTTTAAAACACTTCACATTATTTCAGGGTCAATTTAAGAACATTTTTTGTTTTACAAAGGCATTCCTTTATTTTAAATGTGACAATTTTCATAACATCTATTTTCAATCAAACACGTAAACGATGTGAATCGACGACACCATATTTACGAGCACACAAACATTCGGGCAAAAGTATTTTAAAACGGAGAGTTGGCAACAGTGTTACCGCTGCTGAGCCTAAAAGAAAAATTTATGAATCGATTATTTTCATCTAAAACATGAATGAATCCTATTCAAGAAATTCAATGGAATTCAATAAATCAATAGTAATAAATAAAATTATACATGAAATAGATATAAAGACATATATTTAAACATCCATTGATCCTAAACTTATGGCCTCTTCACATACAACTTCCCTCGCTTCGGTTGACAATTCACGTCAACTGGATTCAATTTTGCCAGAATGAACGCTTTGCTTTCAGTGCTCCTCTTTAATAAAAATGGAAATTTTCGCCCAACATTTATCTTCGTCTTCCTACGTTTGGCTTCGATGAGAACGTACTCATAAAAAAATACATTCTTATACTGAACTAATAATAATGCAATTTGAAAACCTTCTCTGTATCATCGTTGGACTGGTGTCAGAATTCATATTTTTTATGACTGGAAAAGGTAACTCTGAATACGCGAACTTGAAACCCTGAGAACGTCAAATATATTGGTTGAAAATCAAAGAAAAATAGATGAATGCTATAAAAATAGAGTAACTAAAAAAACTAACAAATTTTATTAGCCCTTTTTTAAGGACTAGAACCAACATTAAAAAACAAACAGTTTTCAACAGAGAAAAGTCGAAGATTACCCATAAATTTTTGCAGTGAAATTGAGAGGGAGTTCCTCTGTCGAAGGAAAAGAAACTGAAATCTTTACACACAACATAGGTTTTCACAATTTTGTATTCTGTTATTTTAAAGTAAACACATTTTTAAAGAAGTAAACTTTCTTTTTAAAATCGTTAGTATATACTAGTTGCAGATGCCGACAAAAATTATTAAAGAAACATACCAGTGATATTGTTGTCATAGCATCGATAAAAATATAAGTTTTATTGATTTTCGGAAATAAATTAAATAGGAGAATATTTTGAATTGAAAAACGCAAAATGTTTGGTGGTTTTCGGTGCACGGTCCCGGCTGATGCCGATCGTAAAGTAGATATATCCAATAACCTTTTTATAGAGACTGTTATGGAGCAGGAGCGGCGTGTGAAGGATTTAAAAGCTCAGGAAATACAAATGACAGCCGAGAATCCACGTATTCGCACTCAGCAAGAAACAACAGATATTTCAATAGAACTTAAAGCACAAAAAGTTGAAGATTTCCTAGATAAAAAACGACGACAACAGCTTCGTCAAAACAACTTGGATCTGCGGCAGTTAGAAAAACAGTTGAAAGCTGCATTTATCTCTAAACAACTAGCAGAGCAGAAGGTCGCAACCGACAAATTAAAGCTGGAGCAAATGAAAAAGAAACGTTTAGAGGACGTTGAGTTCGATGCGGAGCAAAAGCGTTGCAAAGAGGCACTAGCGGAAATAGAAAAAAAAGAATTAAAAAAGAAACAAGAATTCCGCAACGTTCTCTTGGGTCAAATGGAGGAATCCCAACAACGACGAAAAATTGAATATACTGAAGTTCTAAAAGAAAGGGATGAGATGCAAAAATTATTGCAAAAGTACAAAGCAGAGCACGAGGCTGAGTTAATGGAAATTGAGCGAAGAAAGGAAAATGCGAAAAAGGAAATGGACGAGTTCAAAAGACTACAAAACGCTCTTAAATTAGAAAATATGGCTCAAAAGATGGATGAAGTGGAACGATTCCAAGCAATGATGAAGGAACGGGAAGAGAAGAATTTACAAACCAAATTGGAAAGAGAAGCTGAAACCCAAAGGAGGGCAGAACTAAGTGATCGAATTGGACAACAATTGTATTATGTTGAAGTATGTATTTAACTACCTTAATTTCTACAGATGATGTTTGTTTTTATACGGTATAAATTTTTTAATTTTATAGAGCGAAAAACGAAAACGTGAAAATCTTTTGTTGGATTTATTAGTTGAGGAACGAAATACAAATGAAGACATCAGATATAAACAAAATCTAGAAAAACAGTGGAACGATCGCTTACAAATGCGTAGGGAATTTGAGCGTTATCGTGCGGAACGAGATCGTCGTAAGCTTGAGCAAGAGCAAAATGAAGACGCTATATTCCTAGCTGATATGCGAAAACAGTTGGCTGAACGCGATAAATTAGATCAATTAGCGGATGAAAAACGCCGTCAAAAAATAAGAGAACATGGTCGGGCAATACAGGAAATGATTGAGTTGCGCCGACGTCAGCGTGCCGTTGATGCTGCTGAAGACATTAAGTGGCATGAATATTTGTTAAGTGAAGAAAGGAAACAGTATGTACATAATATAGAAGTTATTAGTTTATTAAAATTTATTATTATATCCTAGATTGAAAATGGTTGAAGACGAACGCCTACAAATGCTCAAAAGTGCTCCAGTCGACATATTGCGGTACCTTCCTTCTGGTGTGTTAAAGGATACAGATCGAAAAATTCTTGGTCTTCCCAATCAGGGTAAAAAAGCTTAATTTCTGCATTTGTGTTAAAATATTGTACCTGTTTTAGTTTCGAATAAAATTATTTTATGCCTTCTATTTTATTAATAAATTCTTTTATACCTACCAATGATATAAAACTTGTTCTATAAGTTTACCTAGAAAAGGAATCGAGTAATATATGTACATAGATCAATAACCAAAGTTTAAGTAGAGAATATTGAAACATTGTAGGTATTCGAACAATCAGATAGCTGCACCAAGTCCTTGCTTTACTGCCGTAGTGATTGAAACTTGAACAATCCCATTTTCATGGGTCGTATCACATTTTTGTTTCTGATTTTCTTAACCATTGTGCATCCTTAATGGCTATATTATGTATACTTAACATTAATATAACAAATTCGATTCGTCTTTCCGAGGTTTGCGAAAAGTTTTACGTGTTGCATTATCATTACTATCAGTGAACCTAGAAGAAAGAATATTAAATTGTAAATAATATACACATCATTGTATACAACATGATTATTTTATTATAAGAATTTGTGAAATGTGTGAAATCTAGTGTTACAATAATCGAAAGGTTTCTAAGAAGGACCAACAAACTTTTTTCTGTATGAACGCAGCCTTAGGTAGAACAAAATGTCAAAAATATTGTCAATTATGATTTATTTAATAAGAAACGGCAACACTGTTTGAATAATCTATTAAGCGAAATAATTTAATTGCACGTGTGTTTCTAATTATTGCGATTTTCTATTACTATTGATTTATTTGCTGATTTAACAAATTGCGATGCCTCCAATTCGAAAAAATACATCCGCCAGTTCTAGTAGAAGAGAGAAGCAGACTCTGGAGTCGAGTGGCGTAGTTTCAGGACAAGTAATGTTGACATTTCAGTAACAACCTTATTATAGCTTATAACCAATAATTAACGCCATCTTAAACTGATTGGTTTATTACAGTTAGATAAAAGGTTGAAGCAACAGCAACAAAAAAAAAATGAGAAACGAGGGATTGTATTTATTAAGCACTTACCACATGGATTCTTTGAAGAACAATTGAAGAATTATTTTGAGCAATTTGGTAAAGTGACACGCTTGCGACTTGGCCGTTCTCGGCGTACTGGTACCAGCAAAGGCTTTGCGTTTGTAGAATTTGAATATCCTGAAGTGGCAGAGGTGGCGGCTGAGACAATGGATAATTATCTCATGTTTAAAAAAGTTGTTAAGGCTGCGTACATTCCTCCAGAGAAACAACTTTATAACTATTTCAAAACTTCTTTACGTAAAGTAAAGAATAAGGTAAGCTAATTCGGATATGTTCATTGCAACTATACATATATGTATTTTAAATGTTTTATCTATTCTTAGGCTGGAAAAGAAATTTATGTTTCTCACAAGACGGCAGCAATACAGCGCAAAGTGAAGCAAATGAACAACTGGTCGAACAAGAGTTATCAAAAGCGTGCCTTAAAAAAATTAGAAAAAGTAGAAAAGCTAAATCAGAAATATGCCCATTTAGGTATTGACTTTACGAAAGTTCTCATTGAACCCAATAAAATAGAACACAAAACGGAAGAAGTGAAAGATGCAAAAGAAAATAAATTTAAAAGTGGCAGTGTGGATAAAAGTAAAAAATCAAAGACACTTAATAAAACCATAGAACTCCAGGACCTATTAGGTAATACATTGAATGATGATTCCGCAGATGAGGACTATGTTGTGCAGTCCCAAAGTGATGGCATTGATAGCGAACAGTCTGATTCAAGCTCCGATGAGGAGACATATGGCTTTGCTAGAAGTTCCGACAGTGAAGAAACTGATAGTGGGGAAAAAGCTAAGCAAAGGAGTATTCCCTTGGGCAAGTCCCTCAAAGCTGGGAAAGTAGATAATTTCGAAAAACTAATTAAGCGAAAACCACAAACTGGTGGTATTCAGAAGGCTAAAAAATTAGTTAAACCCCCAATTGTAAAAAAAACTTCAAAGAGTATCTTACAATTAACGGCAGCGAAGGAATTCGTAAAAGCTGTTCCCACCAAGAAGGGAAAATCGGCGGTGTTAAAAAATAAATCATCTAAGTTACAAAAGATTAGGAAATAGATTGTTTTTTATCGTATATATTAATATTATCTCTAAATTTTCACAAATATTACAAAGTAATACATACATAAGAATATTTAAATTTCTATATAATCAGTTGGTTATTTATTTTTTGGGAATTAACCAGAATTTTGGGACTCCAGTTTAAGCCGCTTCCATTTCATACGCCGGTTTTGAAACCATACTTTAACCTTAAATTAAGATTATTAAATAATATTTCATAAAGTTTGATTTATTCGGCATCTCTCCACCTGTCGTTCGGTTAAATCTAAGGCAACCGCTATTTCATATCTTCTAAGCCGTGTTAAATAATTTGAATGTACAAATTCGGCTTCCAGCTCCCTGATTTGCTCTTTAGTAAATGCGGTTCTCTCTTTACGAGGTATACTAAAACTATCTGAAATTCCGTGTGATTTAGTATCTAGAATTAAAAAGAGGTATAATTGTAGATATACTATACATATGTATATACATAAGTACTAATATCAATATACATATCTCTCTACTTTAATGACATTGTTTCATATATAATTCATAAATACGAAACCTTTTTGATAAATTACCGTTATAAAACAAAGGAAGGACAACTTCGAAATTTTAGGATGTTATTGAAAGACATAAAAAAATAATATACAAATCTACATAATATGTACAGTTTGCCGAATAGAGGAAATTATTCAAACTTTAGTATTCTCGAGTGCTGCGTGGGGGCGCTAAGCGGTCTTAACGGTCCTTTAATAAGCTATCTCAACTAAATATGTATGTAGAAAGGACATGATATCGACCTGTATTGGCCAAAATTGCATACATAAGCTGCTAATAAATCATATAGTTCGACAACGAAAAGTCCATGTGTATATTTGCCTCTGCAACGAAAATAAGGGTGAAATTTAGAGAGTCTTAAGGATATTAAGTGATCAGTTTTTCCTGACGATCCTGAAAATGTGTAAAATTGATTCTACTCTTCACCTAGCTCTCCTAAATCTAATATAATTGGTGTTATTCTGGTTTATTTTACACGAAATCGGTGAGCATAAAATGAAGATAGACATAGATGGGTTAATGAGTCAGATATCTCTGTGTAACCAATATAATGAATTTCGTTGATTTTTTGCACCACATTTACAGGTAATCAATTCACAACTTCGTCTAATAATGAACGTCGATATATATATGTACATATGTAACCATGTTTTACAAAGGCCTGAATATACACTATATTATTAACTGTATTTTCACTCTTTTCTTTGAATTTTATATAACAGTGATTCGGTGATTTAATTCTTTTCATTGTTACAACTTAGGTCCAGGTGCGATATCTCACGTATATAAATGTCTATTTTATTAATTATTATTTCGTTCAGTTATTAAAGAGTTATTTTTGATTTACCTTAACAGCATAATAACAGAGAGGTTTATTCGATTATTTTTAAACTTACAAAATGAATTATTATTTCTCTCCCCTTCTACATTAATTTCGAACTCGGACCTTGATGAATGATGATTTTGCAAATTCAGTTCGGAACGATTCGACATATTTGGTACATTTGATATTTCCGAATATTCTTGTATATTAGCATCATTCCATCTCGTCGTTAATCTCTCATTGACGAATTCAATATTATTCCGACTGTTAGTCCACTCAGGTAAAAGATTATTAAATTCTGTTGTTCTACCAAGAATGGGATCGCTGTAATTATAAAACATTTCGAAATCTGTCGATGGAACATGGCTATGAATAAAAGTACTCGCCGTCAATGAGCGGTTGGTACTCATTATTAAATCTTATTGCTACAATGATCAAATTCAAACTAAATACAACTCAGAGGAAAGAAAAAGTTCACACTGAAGTTATTTCCCCAAAAAGTTGGTAATTTCTTATTGGCTGATTATATCTTATATATATACTAGTGCATGCGTAAATAAGTATATCTCAACCATGATTGGTCACAAAGTTAAATGAGTGTATACATGTGTGTAGATAATTTATTGTGCGGCAGTCCATATGGTTTTTCACTTATGAGTCTTATTATGTGTGGTCGATACATGTCTTTTGCATGGCTATGTTTGTAACGGGTGATCCAAGAGAGAAAAGTATTTCTGAATAGCAATTTTTGACTGATCACGGGTGAGTCCTGTCAAACTGTCATGATATTTTTGTTCAGTATTGTTTGGCATTTCATTATGGAAGGACTTACGTCTGAACAACTTCCCACACATCGCATGAATCAATGGATTTTTTAAGAGAACACTTCGGTGAGCAGATAATTTTACATTTTGGACCGGTCGTTTGGCCACCAAAATCGGGTGATATCACACCGTTTGACTTTTTCCTGAGGGTATATGTAATGTCTAAAGTCTATGCGGACAATCACGCTTCGATTCAGACCTTGAAGCAAAACATCACTTGTGTCATTCGCTTGTTATCAGTCGAAATGCTCGAACGAGGCATTGGAAATTGGACTCAATCACCATGTGAGATGTAGCCGCGGCCAACTTTTGAAAGAGTTTATGTTTAAAAAATAAATGCCAAAGAATGTTCTTTCGAATGTTAGCAAATATTCTCCATTAAATTTGAAGTTTCTGAGTTTGGATTACCCTTTATATACATTCAGTAAATTCCGGTCATAATTAAAAACTGTTGTGACAAAACCACTTAGAACTTTGTTATGTTTAACGATTATGAAGAGAAAAGAGGAAGTTGAGGAAAAGAATTCAAGTGCATTGTGGCAGTGGGAGATGCGGCGCAATGCACATCTGTAATACAAATATGAAAAGTGCATAGAAATAAACATACCAGTGTACTCATACACATATGTATATTTTGTTGGTATCCGGTTAGGTCACTTCCAGAGCATTTCTTTTTTCTTAACGTTTTAATGATTTTGTTGCTTGCATAATTTAATTTCAGTTTAAGATGACGACTTTGATGATTAGGTATTGTATGTGTATACTCGTATATATGTCTTTACATACAAATATATGGGAGTACTCTGGCCATATAAATTGATACTTACAGATATATTTACTTGCATATGTAAATACATACATATATGGCTGTATATGTGTGCTACCGAATTATTTTCTTACTAAATTTTAAATATACTACTATACATTATTATTTTGCATATATTATAGGTTCTATATTCACTTATATAATTTTAAGAATTTCACTTAACAGATCCCAGCTTAAAAGAAAGTACCGGCGAATATCAACAATCTCGCATTGTGACCCTCGATAGAGAAACGGTGAAAGCTTTCTTGATTGTCCCTGTCACGTTTGAAAGAATTAAGTAACATTTTCCAATAAAATAAAAACAACAAACTAAACAATCCGCATACATTTATAAAAAGTTAGTCTCCTTGACCAAACACAACAACGATTTTGTTCGTGGTTTCTCAACAAATCAACGGAAATCGTCGAACAATATGACGAGAAAATGTATGTCGCAAGTAATATATTACCTTATTATATTATTATGATATTTATATTATATGGATGTATATAATTAGCATTTTTTTTTACGTTTTATTTAAAACTAAAAAGCAGCCGCAAATTTAGCGCAGAATATAAGCAAAACGAACATACACCCAACTCTTTTCTTGCACGGTAGATACATACGTTCCTCAAAAATCCGTGTAAAAAAAGAGACGTTTCCTATAGTAAAGTGTAAAGTTACTTCGAAAAACCGTGCAAAAAATGTTGAAAACTATAAAATTTAAGTTATGCATACATAGTTCATACAAAAATTCGTAGATTAAGCAAAAAAAAAGAAATCTGTTAATCCAGTATTAAGAACAGAAAAATTAAAATAGAAATATAACTCTTTGAAAATAGCGCGCCAGAAACACTTCGAGGGTGATATGGGGGTAATTTCGTCCCCAAGGGTTAAATGGCTTATTAGTAATTTTACTGCTCTGGAAAAATAGGAAGTAACAGAAGAAATCCAGAAATTCGCCATTTTATTTCAGAAACTAAAGACTATATCTATTTTGAAGATAATAAATTATGCTAAGATACCACTGAAGAATTTGAAGCGACGCGGCTTGATAGAGAACTTGAAATAGATGCTGCATTCAGCTCCATCATATGTTCGACTGATACATCCTCCGTGGTTTCCAAATTAATAGGCATCAAATATGATAGATACGCTGCTGGTAAAATTTTCGATCCATTTATTCAGACAGGAAAAAATGGCGGCATAACTGAAAGTTGCCGCAGAAAAATCAAGAATCTGCAGCCGACAAAAAAAACGGATACAATCGGCAAAGATTTGAAGACCCGCTTTTCTGGAAAGGTATTGGATGAATTTCAACTGAGTTTGTCGCTTCCAGAAAAGTGTGTGCTTTGAAAACCCAAGATAGATAGATACCTTTGGGGGCAGAAGCAAAATTGAAAACAACTGCGATGAAGTCCTATACCCTATAATACACACATCTCCTGTGACGAAAGCCAGCTCTGAACGCTCTTTTTCAACTTTTAGCATAAAAACGTGACTGAGTATGAACATGCTTCAAGATAGATTGATCGACCTGGCATTGCTGCACACGCATCATGACATTGAAGTCACTATAGAAAGAAGTTCTCGGAAGATTCTCAAAACTTGGCCCACGTAGTTTCGTTTTGTGAAATTTTTTTATTCAATACATGGACTGCCTGTATTATACTTGTACATTCAAATAAAGTATGTCACCCGCTCGTCTACGATTTATAATGTATTTTTTTTTTAATTTAGTGATCAATGATATTAAATTGTATAAATACTACTAAATTTAATATATTAATCTTCAAATTGCAAGTAAACGGGTGCAACCACACCCTCCATATTCTGCAGACTTAACACTTTCGGACTATCACTTGTTACGGTCTCTGGAAAAATTTTTGGATGGGAGGAACTTCACCTCAAAACAGGACGTTAAAAACCACTTATACCAGTTTTTTCCTGCAAGGGTCAACAGTTTTATGAGCGTGGAGTCAATCTCTTGCCCGAAAGGTGGCAAAATGTATTGAATCAATATAAAGAATAAATAATTTCATAAAACATTTTACACAATATAAATGTGTAAAAAATTAAATTACTTAGTGAACATCACAATACTAAAACTTTTGGGTTTTTATTTAGTATTGATCAGATGCGAAGTTTTACATACGCAGCCATTTTTGAACTGTTGAAAAAATTAGAAATAGCAGTAACTCACGGTCTATTGGCGGCGTAGATGCAACAGATGCGTCGGTAGCTCGTGGAACTGAGGTCCATCAGTCTCTCTAAAGTTTTTAGTAAGAAGGAGAGGAGAGGATGATGGGCCAGGCGTATTTGGCCGCAACGTGGAAGCCCCTGCCAGCCTTCGGCTTGGACGGAATACTGACGCGTCTCCAGGTCCCCGGGATACTACCCGCATAGATAGGTGCTCTGAAAGTATTATAAGTTTAAAAGTTAACTGTACTAAGTACTCCTATTTTAATGTTCAACGAGCTTTTTAGTATGTTTTACATAAACAGATAAATAATATATTGATACTTTTAATTGAAATACATACATATGTATATACTTGTATGTTAACATTATTAGTGTTATTGAAAAATCAAAGATTCGCTTTTTCATATGGATCTTCTATTTTTTGTGGACATAAGTATATGTATAAGTATATGTATATACTTATGTAAGTATGTATTTATTACAGCATATGGAAAATTTTCACATAGTCCGCGCCAAGCGAGCCAGTATGAGCGACATACGATTTGGTATGCACTTTAGAGCGGGTCGATTTTTTTTCTTTTCTATAAAATCGTGCATGCTGGAAATATCCTACGGATCATTCTAAAAAACTTTGCCTAAGAAAGTTAAAAAAATCTGAGCAATCGGTTGTATAGGACATACATATGTGATATAGATTCTGACAAATAATCAATAGAATATCAAAATACTCCTCCGTATTAAATTTCACTCGGATGTCGCAAAAATTGACAAACAAGTTTTCATGATCCCTAAAAAACTTCTCCTTAAAAATCGATGCTCGAAACTGGTTTTAGACCCCTATCAGAAGGAGCCGTAGAACATCCCTCCATATGCAACTTTTCCGTTTTCTTTTGGATCCGTGTAAATCGACCCACTCTAATGTATGTGTAGCTAATAAAAATTTGCATAAACGCGTCTTTGTTATTTGGCTAAACAAATCAAAAAACGTCAACAGTAAGTGTCAATTGTCCATGTTTATAGTTGTGTTTTGTAAATATATACATATATGTATGTAAGTATGTATGTAGATTACGAATTTTTGTATCGATTTAAGTTTTGCTATTGATTAACAATGATATACGCTGAAAGACACGTGATTGTCGCAATATTCTTAAAAAAACAAATCAACAATTCATACTTACAAAAGCAGAAAACATATAATGCAGTGTGTATTTGTTCTTAAAACTAGGAAACAGGCTGTTGCCCATACCTCATTAACTGTTTCTAATGCCCCTTTAAGGAATGACATGTCTTTCCTTTAAGAGAATGGAACTACCGTCTCTCTTTGGACAATGTTTAGAGTCTTTTGGATCAATGATGGCCATCGTTTCACTCTTTGTCTAACCTTTATATAGACTGCATTATCGTGGACACCGTTGCACGTTCAGAAAATCACACGCCACCAAATCCGGACAACATGCTGAATCTATGTACAATTGGTACAGAATATAATTGGTTGACCTGCTTGCGCTAATACTAAATATTCATACGGATGCAGAGATCTTACTTTCAAAGCATTTGTGCTGATTTCGTGGAGAACTATAAGGTCTTAACAATAACATACTATATGCAAATAGAATCTCCACTGGACTCATAATCTGAGATCACATTTTTTCAAAAACAAAAGACGATAAATTGCTTAATCGGAAAGTATTGAAGGTGATACCCCTTCATTGTTTCGTGTTTTATACGACTTCTACGTTTATGTTTTTTTCTTCATTATATACTTACATATGTACGTATAAGAGAAGTTGATTTATTGCCCTTTTTTTTTATATGTATGTAAGTCCCAGTCGGTTCATCAGCAGAGTCGGCCCGAGACATTTTACCGCTTTAGGCAAATGCCAAATTTTTTCGCCCCTTATAAGCCTATTATAGTTCGTAATACAATAAAAAAGTTAATTATTTAAATATTTTCTTTATTATTTACCTTTAATTTGAAAAAAATCAGAAATTGACATTCTTTTTTGCACATTGTAGAGTACGGGTGAAGTTTTGATAAGTTTCAATTTAGAAAAACAGCAACCTCACCGTAAATAATTTTTAAACGATATCTATTAATTCGTTTTTGCAAATACATATAATTTAAAACGCCCTGTGTTGTACAGTTATGAGCAAGTTTTCAACCAATTATTTATACTATTATATTTCTGGATTCGAAAACAAAACCCATATTGATCATCGAAAAACGCTAAGGTTCCAATTAATTAATTAAAAAAATAAGTAAAATGTAAGGTCCATGATTTTCTGGATTCGGACGTAAGGGGGACATGGGCTTCGCATTGAGCTGCCTTTCATGCTTATGACCTGAGCCACCTCAAGAGTAGGAACGCGGCCGCTTTAGCCACTGTTTTATTGTTATCCTTTGATCATTGAGAATTGTTCACGCAACGCATATAAAAGTGTTGTATAACTTAACCAATATTAAATGTTTATTTTATGCCGGGGTTATTACCAATAATCGCCTCTCTAGCACCCAGCAAGATATTGGACTTTATTAATATGCTGGGGCTAAGTGAGTCTCTGTGATTTAGCAGAGGGCACAATAGACTAGTGATGAGCGATATTTCACTACCGGTTATTTTTTCACTGTGATTGAAAAACCCATATCGCAACTGCGATCACATTTTATAAATAGCACTCCGAAACTGTGATTTGTGATAGCAGTTCGATCCTGTGATTTGCGATAGCAGTTTGAAACTGTGATTTGTGGTAACAGTTCGATTTTGTGAATTCCGGTTGCGATAGCATGTCAGAATAAGTTTGTGAAACTGTGATTTTTTATAGTACAGTAAATGCGATCACAATAGCAAATAGCAGAAAAGTAATTGCTTTCTTCAGGGTATTGTATATATACAGGTTGTCAAAAAAGGCTTGCGGTATTTTCGCTAGTTGGCGCTGAGAGCGCGTAGTTCTAGTTTTATTCGTCGCATCGGGCCATGCTATACCTTTTTGGAAAGCTCATTTCACGCGCTAACACGTGTTTGTTTGATTGCCGTTTCTTTTGAGTCGTTCGTGAGTTATAGCGGCATATTTTGCAGCACTACTACGATAAAGGCAAAAATGCATCGCAAGCCGCCAATAAAGTTTGTGCAGTTTATGGACGATACAGTTTCCTTTTCCACCGCACAACCATGGTTTCAACGTTTTCGTTCTGGTGTAGAGGTGGTCGAAGATGCGCCACGCTCCGGAAGGCCTGTAGTCGAAAATTGCGATAAAATCGCAGAATTGGTAGAAAGAGACCGGCATAGTAGCAGCCGTAGCATCGGTCAAGAGCTGGGCATGAGTCATCAAAAAAAATTTTATGAACAATTGAAAATTCAATAAAAATACCGCAAGACTTTTTTAACAACCTAATATATACATGCGTATATGCTATTTTTCGACATAGCATTTGAAGTTTTGAGTTTAACGTCCTTATATTTTTTAATAATGGCTGGAAATGTATCAAGGAAAAGAAGTGAAGTATGGCAGATGTTTGAAGTGGTAGATGAAATATGTATATGCAAAATACAATATTTGCAAATCAAAAATTTCATATAAAACATCTTTAACAATTAAAAAAAAATCATGAAAACAGAATATACATCCTACAGTGGAACTACCAGCTCAAACTGTACAATATGTAATAATTTAACATTTTTTATTACATATAAAATTATTAAGTTTTGCTTTACAAGCAAATCATACTACAGCTACTGTAATTCATACCCCCTCTAACTCGGAAGCTCCAATACATATTGATAATGAGCCAGGAATTTCGAGACTGCCGAACCGCGCCAACATTTGCGAAAATGTAGTGAAAAGAAAGGCGAAAAAACTTGACTCGAGTTACAGGACCCAAAAGAGAATTTGCCGCCAATAACGACAAAAGGTTTCCGTCGTTGCCACGACAGTCGAGTCTACGTAACTGGAACGAACCAGGACTTTTTTTCGGCCAAACACTATCAAATCGGCAGAATCTACCGCTACAACAACAACAACAAAAGGTCTCTATTTGAACGTCGACTTAGTTGCGATCGCGATAGCAATATAAAAGCACAGGGATTTAAAAATAGCAATCACTGAAATCACAGATATTGAAAAATCGCAATGTCGCTCATCTCTACAATAGACCTAAGGTCGCGGTGCATTCCTCAATTATTTATGTATCTATTACCAATAATCCTACTTTTTAAGATAAGTTTTAAATATAATTTATGGTTATTTTTAATATCACAGAAATTGTATATACAAAGCATGCCACCCCAGCGAATCGAATATTATTATTCGTATTCCCTATCCGGTTAATCGAATACCAAGAGCTCTGGTAGAAATTTTAGAAAAATTTACTTTTGACCCATAAAATCAAAACAATACAAAAGAAAAAACTTGATTTTGACATTATGAATTCAAACAGTTTTGAAAAATTGTTGTTTCCGCGCTATGGACGCAACTTTATATAATTGAATCATGTGTTTTTCTGGTATGCGTACGTAAGAAAAACAAGAAACAATTATGGCTAAATGGCTAATTCTTACAGAACTTTTGCTACGTTTTGCTTTCACAGAAGAGTTCGATATTTATTTTTATATAAGTACGAACACATCGAATCGAAACGCAAGCAATCAAAGCAATATGCTGGTAAACTCTAATCTTTATACGCTTTGCCAAGAAACAGTAGTCATTTTCATTATGTGTAACACGGCATGTTCATTCTGACATAACGTCTGCTTTTTTTTACTTTGTTTTTAAAGAATGAATTGTCAAGCAAAGCGAAAAAACTTGTATTTGTTCCATTACAGTTGTCAATGCGCTCGATGGAGCTTATCGAATTTTACATTTCAACTGCAATCGATATTTGCGATAATAATAGTGGCATGAATAAAGAATGTCATCTGTTGTCAATGATTATTCTTAAAAGAAGAAGAAAAGTGCGACAATTTGTGATATTTATAAAATTGTGTATAAAAATAATCAATTAAATTTTGCTAAACTGATTAAAAGTAATATTGCATGGCCTCCACAATACCAGAATGTTCTATGTTGAATCGTATGTCTTTCGACAAGTGGACAACAAGAGAACAACTATGCTTAGCATCTGCGGTATCATGCAATGGCGATCAGAACTGGATGTCAGTTAGTCGTAGCCTTAAACATGTTTGTGGAGATGGGACGGTCATCCGTCCTAGTGACTGGTTCTCTCAAAAAAACTGTGCTGCACAATATGGTTTTTTGTTAGAGAAAATAGAAACGCCGAAATGTAAAAAACCATCGTATGAAAGCTCAAGTCCCTCTGCTGAAAGTTCTTCAGCGGAACTTATTCTTCATCGGTTAAATGAAGACCGACAACATGAGTTAAAGGCGGAAATTCAGATGGAACAAGAGGAATTCGCCGAAATTTATAGAGAACTTAAAGCATTGCAGTCAGGATTTTTCAATGAAGAGCAATTACGAGAGATGTGGTGCGATATTGAACTCCAGCAAGAGCAGGAGCGGGTAGAAGAAATGAAAATTGAAAATCAAATACGTGAAAGGGAACAACAGAAACCGGAAATACAATGCAATTGGAATAAGTTGTCCCCGGCAGGAACAAAGAATATTTTACCAGCACACCGCACGACTGATACTACTTCAGTGGATATGGATGTAGAAGACATAACCGGTGCATCGAACCCAGAACAAATATCTACTATTTTCAATCAAACAAAACAAAAACAACAGATGACACAATCTGGTATTTCTCCATTATTATCATCTTTATTAAAATCACCCACTCCTGGAACCAGTTCACCTACATCTATAACCACAAACACCTCAACTAGTGCAGCAAACAACTCTACTCGTTCATCTGCGCCCACTATAACAACGCTCTTAACTTGTGGGTCCATACCGAATAAAAACCAGCCTGCTATTACTTTAAAATCGAGTATACCCCCACAAAAGGCTGCACAATTGCTATCGAGTCCGATTAGTGGCCCGCCATCTATATCGTCAGTACCCGTAACAAGCATCACGGGTCAAAATTTATTGAGACCTTCACAGGCTGCTCCCACACTTTCTATGTTGTTAGAAAGAAATAAAGCACTAGACATTACGGTAACTAATGTCGAAACTCGAATTGCGGAACCCCTCCAAACAGGACAGAATGTAGCTGATAAGTCTCAAATAAATGTAGTTCAAAATCAAGTATCTGATTCTAACAATGATGAAGTCCCTATGGAACTTGACGAAGATCTTACCACTCATTTGAGTGATTCTAATGAAATTAGGAACAATGGAAATGATTCCGATGAAACCGATCCTAACGAGGAACAACAGTTGCTTGAAGTTTTCAAAAACATTGGGAACATTGATGAATTGGATATAGATGTATCTGCAGTTATAGATGGTGAAGAAGTCGATTTTCTCAAAGACATGCAGGCTGATTCGCCTAATGATATGAGGAGCGTTGAAGATTTTCAGAATAAAGATGATATACCAGTGTCAAAACTAAGGAATGTGGTAGAAAATGTTTTAGAGAATGAGAAAAAAAATAATGATATAAAAGCTCTTGATGACAAGATATCGTCCAACGAAGTGATAATTAGCCAGGTCGAGGAAATCAATCCCACTATAGAAATTAAGCAACGGAAAATGGAAACCACATCAAGTGATGACTCAAATGACAACATTCCATTAGCTGCAGTAGCCACCCTAGAACAAAGAGCAGTACATGAAAAAGTTGTTTTCAAAGAAAAGATGGGTTTGGAAATAAATAAATCATATAAAAATGATGGAAATGAGTCCAGCAAAAAGTCAGACTCCCAAGAATTCAAAATTTTGCAGACGACTTGCGAAGAAGATAATAAAGAACACGATAAGTTAGAAAAACAGTTGGCCGATTTGGTGGGGGAAAATGAGGGTGAGGATACAAAAAACTTCAATGACGACGAAAAATCAGCCGCAGCAAGTGAATATTCTGATGTGATAGTCATTCCAACCGATGATGATGATTCTAACGGTCAAAAAGAAAAACAAAATGTTGAAAAATCCAATGTAGGTGAAGAAGCGGAAAAAATTAAAAAAGACTTAGAAAACGATGTAGGGACACTAGGTAATATATAATAATTAGAAACATTTTTCAAATTATATAAATGCCTATAAAAAAATTGTTTATGTATTTCAGAAGGAACGAAAGATTCAACGGAACATGAGGAGGAATTGACCGAAATGGCAGTTAACAATTCCCGTATTGGCCAAAAAGGGGCTGTGTCTATACCCCCGACCATATCTATAGCTTATACCGATGAGGAATCTTCTACCACAGACATTAGTTTTGTTAATCCCAAAGATGATAACTTAGGAAATACTTCAATTAAACAGAGAGAAACTGTTCAAGCCCGCAGAAGTTTAATTGAACAAAACCGTCAAGATCAACATAGCAAAACAGACGACGAATCTACAACACAATTTTCTTCATCTTCATCGTCCTCCGTTACTTTAGCGCGACCTCCAATGTTGCGAAAATTACGTGATCGTGATCGGTCCGAAAGTCCTATGATCGATGGTGATGTTCATCCGCTGAACAATAACGCTAACGTCTCGACTTTAGAGAACTTGAATAATCAAAGACTTCGGAGGCGATACTCATCTACACCCGTTAACGACAGTGTACCAAATTCACCGGCCTCAAGTGATCGCGAACGAGAAGAATCAGAAACACGAGTTTCGAAAAAGTCGTTACTAAGTATTTTTCACGCACTGCAATACAGTAAAAATGCAAATGTTCTGCAGCGCTCATTTAACGAAGACGTCCAATTCAGTGAAATTTGCTTGCGACCATTAGATATGGTTTCTATTAGAAAGTGCATTGAATCCGGTACCATACGTACCGTTACCGAATTGCAACGCGATATTATGCTAATGTGTCAAAATGGATTGATATTATTTAAGCAGGATACCAGCGGGTTCAACGCAGCTAATGCTTTTATGCTGGAATGCCAAGCTATACGTGAGTTTGTTGGAAATACGAATATCACCGAGAACAATATACCAATAAAAGATAATAAAGACGGAAGTAAAGTTTTAAATATAAGTGGAACAGGCTCCAAATCTCGAAGTGGATCTAGAAAAAGTCAACGCATCTCCTAATAATGTATCTTAATGAACTTAATAGCAACAAATCAACACATTTCTTTGAGCATTATTTCACACAAATTTATAAAGAATTATTATCAATAATTAACCACAGTTTGAAATACAAATCTTGCCATATGTTTAGTTTTTATTTCCTCGTTTAATCTTGTTGGAAATATGTATTTTGTAAGTTTTAAGGATTGATAATGGAAATTTCACACTTTGTGAATGTATTACATTATAAATCTAAAATGAAAGTAATAAATTTTGAAAACGCCTAGCTTTCGAGCTGAAGCATACCGCTTTACGTCTGGGACAGGTAAATCGTCGTAAACAACGAGACAATTGAATGTCACATTTACACAGTCGCGCTGCACATGATCTTGGGCCTCCAAATTCTCCATGATCTAAAGCGCATAATGGTTTTCGTCGATAGCACTTCCAAATGTAGGGTACAAAATATTCTAAATACGATATGCAATTACTGTGTTCGTAACATATGTCGTGGATCCTGCAGCAGTTATCTATGCCATCAACAGGAACACCAGAACCTGAAAATCCACAGTAACAACCGTATCCTTTATATACGAGAGGCTTACAACCGGTGGCACATTGAATGATGGAGTATAATGTAAGTACGTCGCGTTTTGTCCGACCGGTTAAGTTTCTGCACAAATTAAAAAAATAAATATTTATAAGCCGTTCACAAGTAAATTTTTATTTTAAATATAATTTAATATTTTTATTTGAATTATAATTGAAGGGCCGTCATTAATGAGATGATTTCATTCAGGTTTGAGTACTATACAAATTTACCTTGATGGCAACAGATTATTACATACATACATTCATTTAAATTATCGAATGCAACTCGGCTAAATAGTTGCTCGAGAATTCCCTTTGTTTTTAGTAAAATTCATATTCATTTATTGAGTGTAGTGTAAAAAAAAGTATATATTTTATTTTAGATTTCAAACAAAAATAAGGGAAATTATTAATTTCAGTTGCACCGAAGCTATCATAAAATTCAAAAATTAAAAATGTTCCCATACAAGAAGTTGATTTTGGGTGGTTGTTGTTGTTGTTGTAACGGCAGAATTCTGCCGAGTTGACAGTCCTTGGCCGGACAGTCGTAGACCGGACTGTCGTTGTTTTCGAAATGATCCGTAGAACATTTCCCGCATAAGTGATTATTCACTCGTTTTTTTTTTTTTTTGGCTCCCTATAAAGCAACCCGTTCTAGTATATATATATGTACATACATGATATTATTCCAAACTTACTTAAATTCCCATTTGACGGAGATACCGAAAGGATCATTAACGCGCGCTATATATATATGTACATACATGATATTATTCCAAACTTACTTAAATTCCCATTTGACGGAGATACCGAAAGGATCATTAACGCGCGCTATATATACGTTCTCATCATCGGGGTCCTTCCCTCCATTCTCCAACTCTAAAAGGATATCGTTGTTTGGATAAGGCTCCTGAATATTGGGCTCAACAACCGCTAAAGCAACAGCGCCAGACCAACCATCCAATCCTAGTAAACTCCAAGTATTTGTACTGCTCTCGGCACTTACATTAGTTGGCTCCAAACTATCCAGACGTTCCTTTGTAAATAAATTAGAGCGGGTTTTATTTAATTGCGCTCGTATGTACTCCATCGTTAAATTAGGAAAAACTGGGTCGACTAAGTCACTACGTTGCATCGTCAATATTGAGCAACCGTCCTTTACACTGCTGTCTGGTATTTTGAATTGAAAGGTAACATTTGATGAAAGCACTACGGGCTCGTACATCTGGGGTATAATACGATTTATGAGATTTGTATTGTTTGTTATGGTTTTGAAAGCATTACGAATGTCACTCAGAATTATATCAGTAGTTGTGTGTATATTGCGCGCTAATATGCCGTTTTGGGATGGACAACTTTGCATTAACAGCACCACAAACTGCATCAGGACATAATTTAACTTCATTATATAACTTACATACATATGTATGTTTATATCTTAATGAAATTAATACATACATATGTATGTATATATGGCTTATTTAACGTAGTTGATTTTCGCGGACTGCTTGAGGACTGCTGCGGCTAATTTCTTACAAGTTTACTGTTAAAGTGAAGCTGGCAGAGTGGCTTAAAACTATTTAACCCATTAAAGTATTATAGCCAGCCACAAAATAGCGTAGAAGGATTATAAAACAAAAACAAATAAAAAAGCTTTAATCCGAAAGTTAAAGGTAGAGAAATTACAGCAACATACGCATAGAGGTAGTAATGGTAGTTATATATTTGTAAAGTTATACACATGTTGCACCTATTATACATGTATTTTATATTTATACTCATACACATTTACGCTTCCACAATAGAGCAATAGCAGTGTCTTCTACCAGTCCGAACCCAGTCTCATGAATAACACAAAAAATTGCACATAGGCATACATACACATGTACTATGTATGTATGTATATACTAACAGGCATTACAATTCGTACGAATGTTTGTGTGTATGTATTTATAAAGTTGGATAAATAAAAATACACAAGTAATTAATTAGAGCCGCATTATTTGAAATATGCTCATTGCAGGCAATGGATATAATTTTAAACAAGTAAGGAAGTGCTAAGTTCGGGTGCAACCGAACATTTTATACTCTTGCAACTTACAGAAATCAAAGCCATGTAAAATATATTACGGTGTAAAATTCCAACCAGAGGATCGGAATCCAAACAATTTAATATTTTCATATACTATATATCACCTGTTTGTTAGAAAAACCAAAAACGTGGTATATGTGAGTTGGGGTAGTATCGTCCAGATTTTATCTATTAACTATTATCAGGCAACATAGTAAGAAGCATTCTCTGCGTTTTATTAAGATACCTCACATAAAATCACCAATTATATGGAGCAAAGTCAGCCGGATTTCCGAAGGTTTTGATATTAGCTATATGGAGACTGGGTAAAATTTTCGCACATAATCTATTTTAGGCATAATAAAATAGCATAACACGCTATATAATTTTCGTAAAGATTACTCAAATATTACCCGATATACATACATATGCAGCATAAAGTCACCCGGATGTTCGAAAATCTTTATATTAGATATATAAATGGAAGTATTGATCCGATTTAACCCGTCCACATCGTCTAATTTTCACACTGGCTTCCATAAAGATCCCTCATGGCATTCTCCGTAACCGTAACGTTATATGGGGAGTGATCAGGGTTATCATCCGATTTCATACATTTTTATACTGTCGGTAGGACTTAATCTTATAACATTTGCAAAGTAAGCAAATTTGGTTGTTGCAGCTTTAGTAGTTTAGGATATATGTATGTATGTACATTAAACTTATTAGAAGGCCAGGCCAAGCACACTTTTTTTTAAATTTTTTGCTCACACTTTCTTAATTTAATGCTTAATTATGGCACTTTATAAGGTTTCGGTTAATGGCGTTTTGTACGCGTGGCGGTGGTCCGATTATGCCCATCTATGAGCTTGTAATTTTTTTGTACTAGGAAGCAAGCATACCAAGTTTCATCGAGATATCTCAATTTTTACTCAAGTTACAACTTGCACGTACGGACAGATAGGCAGTCACCCAGATTTCAAATTTTCTCGCCATCCTGATCATTTACATATACATAACTTTGTATCTATCTCGCATAGTTTTAGGTGATACTTACAACCATTACGTGAATATAACGTTAATACTCTGCAGCAACTGGTTGCAAGAGTATAAATAATAAAAGTGTAGATTCGAGTCTTTAGAGACGTTGGTAAAAGGTGTGTTACCACTTGAAATTACTTTTTCTAGTATCCTAAGCATATTGTTAAGTCGGATTTTTGGAAGTGCGGTTGAAATGTTTGAAGTCATTATAAGCATGGTCTATCCACATTAAATCCAAAATCACAAATATTTAGCAACCAAACCGACAAATCTAACAAAAAAATGGATATTAGAAGCGTGCGACTATGAATTAATAGACGAGCGAAGTATAAAACTTTATATTTTGTACAAATTTAAAATAATTATAAAATTGTTCATATAATTTACTATGAATATTGTATTAACGTGTATGTACAAGCAAATGTATACAGAACTAAGGGCAAAGGCAAGAAGACATCAGTCCCAAGAATAATAGGGTTCGATGAGTTCTGAAGTTCTTCAATTGATCGACATGAAAATTCCGCGCCGCGCTTTAAAAAAAAGAACCATGGCAACCCTTTTCTTATTGTGCAAATGCAGAGAGTGATACCCATTTTATTCCCGAAATCTGGGGATGCTATTCTAAATCCCAACCAAATCATTTATACTGTTCGGAAAATATTTAAACACTGAAAAGCACGTACTAGAATTTAGAAGTTCAAGTATTGTCAACTAATTTTTCGTAAGTTAGTGACACAAAAATATATTCAGAAACCTTATCGGAAAATCGTAGATTTTATCGGGCTGAATGTCAACTTATAATGAAGTACATATGTATATTTATAATATTGGTTAGTCGAAAAAGTCTTTTCGTATTTCTAATCACTTTTAACATATTTTTTTATATTTATAATGATAAATAAATAAAGAAATACATATGTAGGTGCCAATTTGTTAGACCACTTTTTGTCATTTTTTCGGTAGATTAATGGCTTTCCATCAGTGTAAATCAAAATTTCCAGAACGGAAGCGAGCGAACCGTTGTTGTGCTACGTAAACTTCACACATTTCATTGGTGGCTTGCGTGGCATTATACAAAAATTTTAAAATATATCAAATTTCTTCATTATTTTCACTTATTTTTAAACGGCTGTAACTTTTTTTCAACTTCCCCAAATTAAATTTTTTTCTATAAATGGAGCTTAAAATATCACCTTTCCAACATTATTTGTTTCCAAATTATTACCAAGACTGGAATGAAAAAATTGATATCCTTACAGACTGTGGTCCAAATCCCTACCGCTAAATTTTAAGTATATGACGATTTATTTTTGCTCTTGTAATAGTATCGAGCACAATCGGAGGGCGCGGTTACAATCCCATTGCATCCATTTTTGCAATGAAAGTTTGGAAGATATAGTTTTTCAATTTGCCATACCTGTAACCTCTTGGAGGGCGAGGCCAGGTCCTACACTTCATTTCCAAAAATTGTTTTATTACAAATATACAAATATCCCTCCCTCCAGGTACTTTCCGCACATAGTTTATAAAATTCATACACGGAATATGTCTTATCGCCTTGTCAATTTATATCGTGTAGTGTAACCCCTTCTGTTTCATTAATTAATGGGTAAATGAATACCGTTACTTTAAAAATCTTGCAACTCTGACAGTGACATGCGATGAGCGAAATAGGGAAATGATTTTCCTGCAAGTGGAAGTTGAGCGTAATTGTTTAGATTTTTTATTCTCATTTTAGAAATATCAGCACGTGCATGATACAGAATCTATATACAAGTGTGCATTGTAACTCCAAGAACATTTACAAGGCTGAATTGCGAAAAATTTTACATACACAATATACAAGCCTGTAACTACTATTATAGTGCATGTACTTGTAAGCGCGGGAAAAGAGCAAAGTTGTGTGAGGTGTTCAAGTGTTTTTGCGGTTACATTGTGGGGATTATAGCATAATCCGCCTTGTATTAAGGATATTGGTTGACAATAGCTTTAGAATTAAATTTAAGGAAGCAGATTCAACATGTTCTACTTGATCGGATTAGGGCTTGGTGACCCGACTGACATCACAGTGAAAGGCCTTGAAATTGTAAAGCGCTGTGCACGAGTTTACCTAGAAATGTATACTTCCATACTTGGGTGTCCGCAAGAAGAACTGGTAAATGAATTTGTTTAATTAATTATATATATTTTTTAATGATTTGATATTTTGTAACTATATAGGAAACTTTCTATGGACGACCTCTTCTTTTAGCCGATCGGGATTTGGTAGAACAAGGTGCAGATGAGATATTATCGGGTGCTGGTGAGGAAGACGTGGCATTATTAGTAGTTGGTGACCCATTTGGTGCAACTACGCATACTGATTTTATACTCAGAGCCAAAGAAAAAAAAATACAATACAAGGTCGTTCATAACGCATCCATTATGAACGCTATAGGGTGCTGCGGTCTCCAACTTTATAAATTTGGTGAGACCGTGTCGATACCATACTGGGATGAAACATGGAAACCAGATAGCTTTTATGACAAAATTAAATTAAATAGGCTGCATAATATGCATACACTGTGTTTGCTGGACATCAAGGTTAAAGAGCCAACCCCAGAATCGTTAATGCGTCGACGAAAGGAATATCAACCACCACGTTTTATGACTGTGGCTGAAGCAACACAACAGTTAATGACGATTGTAGAAAAAAAAGATGCACTGGAACGCAATACGATTTTAAATGAATTGTCGCTCTGCGTTGGACTCGCTCGAGTTGGTCATGATAATCAATCTATAATTGTAAATACATTACGTGAAATGAGTCAAACTGATCTCGGTGGTCCTTTGCATTCATTAGTGATACCTGCGAAGGAAATGCACCCACTCGAAGTGGAATTTTTGCAGCAATATACGACATTGAAGTTGGAGGACTATAATCACTGAAAAAAAATGTTGGTACATAGAAGATTTTTGCAAGTTAAATTTGTTTACGTAAAGTACAGCATTGTGATTATATATTTTCAAATTAAAAATCTTTTCTTGTACCACAACTATCCGTGTGTAAAAATAATCGAAAGCAGATCCTCTTAAATGTAACTAAATATAAGAAAGTCAAATAATTGGATGCTATTAAATGGCATTTCACTTAGTTGTTTTTTATAATTATGTGTCGTATTTTACGACGACCAATGTTTTGCGTTTGTTTAAATTAATTTATGTAAGCCTAAACGTATTGAAAGCACTGTTTGAATAGAAGGAGTGTCTCCTATCTCTGTATATTGTAATTGAACAAAGAAAAATGATTTTCCCATAAAAGCATTGAATATTTGTTTCATATATGAAGATAATTTATTTTACAGCACAAAATACTCGGATTACTTTAAAAATATAAACCACGAGCTCGTCTTCCAGATCCTTGGCGATCATAAAGTACATTAAACTTGTTGACAAAATGGTTCATATCGTTGCAGCCTTTGGTCATTGCGCCCAAATAGCTAATAAGGGCGACATCGTTGCATTGAGTGTATAGTTCTTCCTGAAAAGCATGACCTTTCATAACAGGTAATCGATGACTTAAGGCATATGCATCGCGCAAAATTTCCTGATTTGCTGCCACTTTGCCACTTTCAACATCTTTAATATATTTTAAAACTATTTGTATACGTTTATTTAACATTTTAATAGCGCTATCTTGAGCCACTAAGTGTTCTGCTACCACAGATTTTTCTCCAGTTTCATTAGTAGACATACGAGCAACATGATCAATACCGATTCGCTCAGCTTCTTCTGTAGCCAATGTGTAAGTTAGTGGAACAAACAACATTGTAGCTTCTCCCCCTACCAATTCGATAGTGGATTCATATAACTTTAACGGGAGTTGGTCAACACTACGTGACAATGGGTTCAATTGCAGTAAGATGGGACATTCGTTTATCTCTGCCATTTGCTTTTGAATTTGAATGTCAAGGAGTGTGGGAGCTTCATCTGTAGTATACCAGCCAATAAAGTCTAGATCACTGAAAACCTAATAAAAAACTATATTTGAAAAAATCTTTGCTGATTTGCCATTTTTAACATATACCTGTTTGAACTGTTGCTCCTTTGTTTGGTAGTATTCTCGGTTGATAACTACGTCTGCCCCCACCCTGTCAACTCTTAATTCAAAGGAATTCATCACTTCTATATTGCGACCTTTTTGTTTTCCTATCAAAGCACCAAATACTTGACAAGTTTCACCCGCTTGAGCACGAATACGGGTCCAGTGCTCGGAAATATTCAATATAACCAATGGATGGAGCGAGGCGGTGACAGAAGGTGTTGTTCCCGCACCTGCCATTATGCTGGTATTTGATGCTAGAACTCTACATTTGGGATGATGACTGCATGATGGTGCAAGATTTAAATTAGCTTCCGAATCAACGTCCATTCGCTCCATTTTACTGTAGTTTATATTTTATTCGTAGAATATATTTGCAAATTTGTTTCTCGCTTAGGGTAGCCAACTCCACATTTCAATTAATCTGTTCGAAATTTTATGAATATTCCCAACAATTATTGCCAATCAACTCTAAGGATTTATTGTTTGACAAACTACTATCAATGGCAATATATTTGGAAGCGCAGTTAGTATCTTGGCTAAATCATTAATAGCGTGGTGTTGTGATTTTCATGAACTTTTAAAGTTCGCTAACTTTTAATGAGAAAATCAAAAAATTCAATGCCCGATTTCAATGGCAAATTATCTTTTTGAATTACTTCCATTTTGTTCTTTATCTTAAACGACGTTATTATAACAATTAGAGTTAAAAATTATCTATACGTATATGTTAAAGACATACCTACTATTTCTTAGTTTCCTCGTATTTTGTGATATTTCTTTATTTGAAACCTACATAAACAAACAAACAAACAATATAAGAAAGAAACATCAACGCCGACGGAAACTCTACAGTCTGAATTTTTATAATTATGAATTAATGTTGAAATTTCCAAATTAAGTTCATTGGCAACAACTGTTAAAAAAATAAAAAACGAAATGTCTAGATAAAAATAAGCAGTTGGTTATCATGATAACAACTATTGATTGTGAAGACAAAGTAATGGGTAATACAAGAATTTGGCCAGAAGCAATATATTTCCACTAATTTATTATTTCGATTGCAATTTTTAAGTTGAGCTTGACACAGTCAAACATTTCTAATACAATTTTCACAATGTGTGATTGTTTTTTTATTGATACCCAAATGATTACGCTTAATACAAAGCTAAATTAAAAATATTGGAGATTGTACGAACTATGACTATATAGTTTTAAAAAAATTATCTCGGTAATATTTTAATTCTTCAATACTATCTTGTAAGTCTTCTAAGCTTCGATGCAGTAAACGTTTTTCGGGAGCCGATTTTATTAAGTCGGATCTCCATCGACGGCACAATTCCTTTATACTTGAGATATCGATAACACGGTAATGCAGGTAAATATCAACGGATGGCATGTGGTGGCGTAGAAATAGCCTGTCCATATATATAGAATTACCAGCTAATGGACATTTACCCTCAGGAACATGTTTCTGTAGGTAATCCAAAAGTATCTTCTCCGCACGCTCTGGTGTTATATCTGATTCGAAGCACTTTTTAACTAAACCGGATTCGTTATGCTGCTTCATGCACCACTCGTTCATTTGCTCGAAAACTTCTTTTGGATGTTTAATAGCAAAGCACAAACCCTCTGTTAAAACTTTTAAATCCTTGTCGGTAATCAAACAAGCTACTTCGATTATTTTGTCCGAAATCGAGTTTAATCCAGTCATCTCGAGATCCATCCATACAATTGAGGATTTGTCAGCTAACAATCTGGGAACGGTCTCCATATTCACAAACAATTTTGAAAGTTTTGAGTGATGATTTTCGCATTGAAATTTTGAAACCCTTGACGTTAACGAAGAAATACATCCACGTGAAATGAATTTTAGCATTTTAAGAATTTAATCAATGCAGTGTTACGAAATATGTATGAAAAAGACTTGAAAAAATGTCAGTTTGGATAGTTGCCAATTAAACCAACCAATTTATTCATATTCAATAATGACAGATAATGACCGACATGATAAAAACTATGACGTCAGGAAAGGAAGATTTGCATGTAATTTGTGAAAAAAAATCTCTTGAACGCGAACACTGAAATTTACTATAAAAGTTGGCACAATTTTATCACATTTTTTATGAAATACCAATATTCATAATCAGATAAGCGCAGGCTTTTCCTCGTCAGTCGGGTCTACGTAATCGGTACGGACGCGGATTTTTTATCCAGCCATGGAATATCACCTCAGCTACTACTACAACAACAACAACAACGATAAGCATAACTTTTTTTTCAAAACAAAATATCTTTAGGCAATTAATTGTTTTATTCCTGGATAATAATGAGGATGGAGTCATGTGTAGAAGTTCACGCAAGTGAGGAAAGTTTTCTGATCGCCATTCACTTGGGAGTGGCCAGAAACGATTCTTTTACATATGACTCAAGCAGCTCACGACTTCCAGTCTTTGACCAAGTATCCTCTGGGTAGCCTAAGAACATCCGTTTGAAGGCGAGCTAAAGTGAGAAGGCGAAACATTCCCTGCATAGGGTTGTGCGCTGGGTTTGGGACCCGCCACGTAAAAAAACCCCCCAATGAAAACGCAACAGCTTCGGATGAGAGACCCCACTTTTGATGACGACTATGGCAAACGAAATAAGGACTACGAATTGAGGGCATGCACCTGGAATGTCCGGTTCCTTAATTGGGAAGGTGCCGCTGCCCAGCTGGTTGATGTCCTCGTAAAAATAAATGCTGACATCACCGTCGTCCAAGAAATGCGATGAACGGGACAAGGACAGAGGCGAGTAGGTCCTTGTTTCATTTACTACAGTGGCCGTATAAAGGAGCGCAAGTTTGGTGTGGGATTCGTGGTGGGAGAGAGACTCCATCGCCGAGTACTATCGTTCACCCTGGTGAATGAACTCTTGCCACAATCCGTACCAAAGCGAGGTTCTTCAACAAATCGCTGATTTGCGCCCACGCCCCGACGGAAGAGAAGGACGATGTGACCAAAGATGAATTTTGGATTGTTAACTCGGCTACAATCGCGTAAGCGGTGACTACGCCAATCAAGAAGAAGAGAATAATAAATAAAGCTTTATAGATATACTCTTCAAGTTATTTATCGGTTAATCACCTGTTAGTTACCCAAAAGCGCAACCAGAGATTGCTGCTAAAATGTTGAAGAATCTCTAAAGGCCCAGTTGACAATTCTAATAGATACTCTTGTTTACGTAGGATCTCTTACACAAGGACCTTATGAGTTGCAGGGTGTATATGTCTCATTTTTTGTGCTAATTCTTTGAATATAATGAAGTTTGGGTAGGCCAATGAATTTTAAAATGTTTTTAAACTTCGTCCTCACCCTGCGTTATTATGACATTTGGTGTACGGATTTTGTGGTAAATAAGAAATTTTATACTGTAAGATTAATTATATGCAAGTGCTTTCTTCGTTGAAATATAATAACAAAAGGATTTAAAGGCAGATTGTCAGTAAATGCGTCCTTAATATTTTGTGATACCTAATTGTATAAATAAAAATGTCTTTTAATGAACGCCCCACCACATCAAAGGATACTTCATTTGACTCTTTTTATACGGAGGTAAGTATATGCTTGTAAAAAGCGGCAGCTGAATACCTATGCTACATGCGCTCTTGAAACATAGTAGCAGGAACAAGGTTGACAACAAACAGGATTGTTGGATATTCACTATTATTGTTTCATATTCCTAAATATGTAAACAAATAATTCAAGAATAGTAGAGCTTGAGAGGAAAACAGTAATGAGAATTGAAGGACTTAACGACCTCATAGAATATCATATATCTTTGTAAACAGAGATTAACATAAAATTAATAATATTTTGGACATTTCCGCAGGTTAAAGAAATAGAAAAACGCGATTCTGTTCTAACCTCTTCTCAACAAATTGATCGTTTACTTCGTCCAGGTTCAACATACTTCAATCTCAATCCATTCGAGGTACTACAGATAGAGCCTAGTGCTACTGTTGAAGAAATAAAGAAACGTTACCGCACACTCTCCATACTGGTACATCCGGATAAGAATCAGGATAATAAAGATCGTGCCCAGACTGCTTTTGACATTATAAATCGAGCTTGGAAGACACTGGAAAATGATGTCACGCGAAAAAAATGTCTCGATGTTTACGAGGAAGCGAAAGAAAGAACGGATCACATGGTTACAATATATATTTTTTGTAAAAAATCATATTTAAAACTATTTCCGAATTGCAGATTGCAGAGAAAAAAAAGAAGCTTCGAAAAGAGAGTAAAGGTTTTGAAAACATCCCTGAAGATGACCCTGATAAATATAAACATGCCATATATGTGATGGTTATGAAATTGTTTGCTGATATGGAACGGCGTCGGCAACAATTGGATCAACGAGATCAAGAAGAGCGCAAACGTAAACGCGAAACCGCAATTGAGGAGGAAGAAAAAAGAAAAGCTGATTTAGAATGGCAGAAGAACTTTGAAGAGTCGCGCCAAAGTCGTGTAAATAGTTGGCATGATTTTCAGTCCGGTGCCAGCAAATCTAAGAAATCAAAAAAACAAAAGCGTATGCATGGAATGATTGTTCCTCCCAAGTTTAAGCCTGAATCACGATAAGCCCATACGCACATGCATATCTATAGCAACAAACTTTATATCATTATTTTTTATACTTCAAATTAAGTTCATAAATCAAATAACGCGGATACTATATGTGAAGGCTGAGAATATGTTAAATATAACATGCCTTTAAATGAGAAATAAGTATTCGAGGTTCGGTTAAGTTGTCATTTAGTTGCCGCTCATTATGCATATGTAACTAAAATTAATAAAATTGACATTATTACATTTTGTAAAATACAGCCAAATGGATATATTTTAGAGCAACAAATTATTTATAAAATATGAGTTTTTTTTTTTTTATTATTACTTAGATCGTTGATATAGCCCGAACACCTCGCGTTCCGTTGGGAATCACAATGCTGTATACAAGCTGGCAGTAAACACTATGTCTCTTTTAATGGCAGTTGATGCTTCTTCCATTTTGCTTTGCAAGGCGGGATTACCTATTCGTATGGCTGCAGTTTTGACATCACGTAAGGTTTCATCCAATTGCTGTATACACCGTACAATTATGCCTTCTTGAACTTCTGTTAACTTCATTATTTCCGCAAACGGCTAATAGAAGTTATAATTAAAAATTAAAAACTTTTGGAAATTTCGTGGTTATAAAAAACTTATAATCAGTTTCTGAAAAATATATTTCCAGTCACTAACTTAAATAACCAGATATTAATATTTGCGAAAGGCAATAGAAATTATAGAAATTTAAAAAATTTGAGTGAATTTAATTACAATGATGATTCGAAAATGATCTGTTAAATAATTTAAGTTATAGATTGCATACATATAGACATAGGACATTGTAATTAATCACCTTGTTGCGTGCCCATTCGTATACTACTTCGAGCAATCCAAAGTTCAGCCGATTTTCGGTTTCTATAATTGTCTTGTTTCTTAGTTCTTCGGCTAAAATAGTGTCGTTGATATCTTCGAACTCTTTAACGCACTATATAAAAAATATTGCAATTGTAGGAAAATATATCAATTTAATAGTAACTACTCTGACTTTTTTTAACTTTTCTGGAATCACCGGCTCCCCTTGGATTTTTCCTTGAAATACTAAACTCGAGAGTAATGCGGCGATTTCAGCAGGTTCAAGATCATTGAACATGTTACATAGTATTAGTTCAGTTATTAACAGCTCGTTCTGTCCCATTTCACAAGCTACTTTTCCTTTCAGCGTGACTACAATAATAAATACATTCATATATTTAGAACTATTTATATTTTTATAGTTTAATACTACTCACCCTCGTCCAAATCATCAATGTATTTTAGTGCGCGTAATACTTCCAATTTATTGCAATAATCTGGATAAAGTGAGAGGTTTTTAGTAGAGTTCTTAAATTTCAATTCCTCAATACGTCGTTCCAACACTTTACGCTCGTAAACCGTGGCGAATTCTTGTTCAAACCCAGCAATATTTGTATGGGGTAGCAATGTCAGTAGCTGTTTCCACAAATATTCTGTATAGCGAATTTGAACCAACTCATTTTCTTCACTTATATTAACATCTTTGGAGAGGTTAATACACTTAACCGCATCGGTGTTGTCAATGTAGTTTTGATTAAGTTGTTGTAATTCACTCACCGCCTTAACGACAGTTGCGCCCGGTGGGGAGTCCTTAAAACGTTCGATTTGCCGTTGTTCCCAATTGCGAATTATAATATCCCCATCAACTTTAATTGTGCTTTTTGTAATTTCAACTATATCAGCGGCTTTTGCATCAATTACACAATGGCCACCAATGCCTTCGGGCTGAAATAACTTGTTCTGTGGGGTCAGCGAAACTATTTTATAGTACATTTCTCCTCGATGAAGGTTGTTATCCTATAAAGAAAGTGTTATAAAGTGTGATAATTCGGAGGAAAATGTACAGTATACCTTTGGATCACTTGAAGAGAATTGGTGGTCAAGCACCAATAATCTATAGACAGTATCTTTCCCTGGAGCAGACTTTATGGCAAGTAATATACCCAATTTGTTGTAGTGTCTGCCTTGGGTAACCACAAGTATGCGGCCAACCTTCAGCTCTTTCGCTATTTTAGGTTGAGATAGTAAATATTTCTATAGAAAAAGGCAATTTTAATAACAGAAATGAAGAATATCTTAGGGAATCTTACCATGATACGCTGCTTTTCAATAGTATATTCTTGGGCGAGATCATAAAAGCGACACAGAGGCTGTAGTTGTTCTCCCAGCTCGGGTAGTTGAGAGAATTTATCAAGCGCAACTTCCAGTTGCTTCTGCTGCATTGGTAATTGCAGTTTTTGATTAAATTCTTTGAAAGTAAACTGTATTATGTCCTCAACTTTAATGCTCTCAATGCGTAAACAAGTAAGAATTACGGCATATCGCAATATGAATTGTGATTGCAATTTTTCTGGTTGTCCAAGTATCATGGAGCGTAGATCTATGGAAGGCGGGACTTGAGATTTACACAATAGTATAACAGTACCATTTTCATCATGACCACGTCGTCCGGCACGTCCAGCCATTTGAATATATTCACCAGGTTTTAGATTACGCACTTCAAGTCCGTCATATTTACGATGTGAGTCAAAGATCACAGTACGCGCTGGCATGTTAACACCCATAGCAAATGTTTCCGTAGCGAATAGTAGTTTAACTAAACCCGACTGGAAAAGCATTTCTACGATTTCCTTCAGTATGGGTAATATACCACTATGATGAACGCCGATTCCGCGTTCCAATGAATCCTTCATGGATAGCACTTGTGGTAGTTGGCGATCTGGTGGTTTTAGTTTTTGTAAGCATTGTTGGAAAAATTTCTGTACAGAACCTTTTTCACGTGCAGTATTTAAGTCAACTGATTGTAATGCCTAGAAGTAAATAACATGTGCAATTTTCAAAAATATAGGCAATATGTTAGATGAATTATCGTACCTGTAAATTAATATCGCAGCGATTACGTGATAATGTGAATGCTACTACAGGCATTTTGTTATTACGCTTCAAAAAGTCTATTAGACCAATCCACATGTTCTGATCCTGTTTAGCGCTAACGAAATTTTTTGCTGACCGCACACTTTGTCCCCCTTTTGATTTGGCCTGCATATCTTTTTTGCGTTCTACCGCCTTTACATAATTTTCTTGCATAAATTTACCATTCCCGTCAACCAGTAGAAATATATCATCTTTGCTTTTACCACCACATCCAGTATAAATATAATGCATTAGAGGAACAGGCCGTTTAAGTGTACTTATTACAAACACTTTCCTTTTCTTGGTACTGCCAACCCAGTCCGCTAATTCCATTGTATTGGGCACCGTAGCGCTTAGCATTATTATATTAACATGATCTGGAAGTAATATTATTACCTCTTCCCATACGTGGCCACGCTCTGGGTTGTTTATATAATGCACTTCATCGAAAATCACATATTCGAGATCTCTGGTTATTTCACTCCCACAGTAAAGCATGGACCGAAGAATCTCAGTAGTCATAATAAGACAAGAAGCAGTGGGATCAATCTGCAGGTCACCCGTAATTAATCCAACGTCCTTAAAAGTTTTTTTAAAGTCTCTGTATTTTTGATTGGATAATGCTTTTATTGGAGAGGTGTAAATTGTACGAGTTAAATCGCGCTGTGATAAGGCTATTGCATACTCCGCTACAACTGTTTTACCAGCCGATGTGTGTGCTGCAACAAACACATACTGCCGCTCTTCTAATTTAAGAATAGCTTGCTTTTGGAACACATCCAACTCAAAGGGGTAAGTCATTGCGGGACATGGAATTTTCTTTTTGAAGTCCGTAATAGGATGTGATATGTCAACCATTTCCGCCCATTCGCTGCTAAAAGTGGATTTCGAGTTTGTATTTGAAATTTCCAAAACTGGTTTAAGATCTGGTCCCATAATATGCTCCTCTACATCTTTAAATTCTGTTGAATAGTTGAATGTATCTGCGCTATGCACTTCCGTTGGTTCTTCAGTCAACTTTAACCATTCCTTCACATCCATGTCGTTTTCCAAATTTTCTAAGAGATTTATATTTTCATTATTTCTTAAATTTGCAACATCTGAATTTGACTGTATTCTATTTTCTTCGAATATATAGCCTTTGGGGAAACCTGGTGGCACTGTCAGCAGTTCTAATCCAAAATCGAATTCAACACCTAGCTTTTTTATTTCTCCAGGTGGTTCATCAAATCCACCCGGCCAGAATGGAAAATTCATCGATGAACCTCGAATTGACTCTTCCAACAGTCCAGGTTCGCGACGCATTGAGGTAGAATTGCTTGCGTTGGCATCGACATCTTCCAAATCTATCTCATCATACTCAATTATCGCACCAGTGATATAGTCACGACGTGGCACTAATTTGGTGCTGGCAGAACCTTTCGGTAAATGTAGCAAGCGTGTTTCATTGTAACGTCGCGGTATTGTGTCCGGTAAAGGATTATTTATTGGTAATTCCGGACAAATAATATAGCTCTGTAATTTTTTTATATTCTCATCCATTCTACTCGTTAACCTGGTTGACATACATATACGTATGTATTTACGAATGTCATGTGGAAACATATTCAACGATTACACTATGCGACAGCATTATGAAAAAGATAGTACATCTAATGTACTTCGAAAACGCTAACTAGCAATGGATAGCATGAAATATATTTAGAATCAATTGCTAAACATTAGCAAATTGCAAATGTTGCCCGCAAAACATTACCGCAACTTTTCAAATTATTATCATTACGTAAAAATTACAGCTAAGAAAATAATATAGCTTTTAAACTGTTCACTTGACTTTATACAGCATTCAATTGTAAGATATGTTAATAAAATATAATTTCATTCGGTACAATACGGCAAAAAAACTAAGTCTTGGCGATATTGGCAGTCTTAGATCTCAAAGAGAACTAAATTGCATAATGATCAAAAAGATACAAGTTTTACTATTTTTTAGTCACATAAACTACATAATTATTATGTCAATTAAGAATTCTATCAGTGTTAGATTCAGGTACAGTGCAACTTCTTTTGAGCCACACAGGCACTGTTGCCGACCAACAGTTGTTGTTGTAACGGTTATTTAGTTCCCGTTAGGATGGTAAGGTTCAGATAAGTTTATAACGAAGTCATCCACTGGTAGGCCCAGGAAACGTGCTGTTTCGTTGTTAACAACTGCCAAATTTATTGCCATTGAAGTTGAAAAATTTTTTGATGAAATGTTTTGCGAAATTTGCGAGAACTTTGATGATGAAGACTATTAGGCGAATGGAAAACATGGAAAGAATAGTTTTCTTGAAAAATTGTTTTTGCACACTCTTCCTTTTCTTCAAGCCTTCCTGTTCTTTTAACCACTCCCTAAAATACTTTGAGAGGTCAGGCGAGCGTTCCTCACTACAAAAATTTAAGCTTTCACTTACCTGCATTCAATATCATTTTGTTTGCTTATTGCGGAGGCTTTATGAATTTTATCGTTAAGAAAGTTTGAATAGTATAATATTAACTATTATTTAATTTAAAACCGAAGTAGTTTCTTTTTCATTTGATATAGCAAATACCAATTCCTGGCACTTTCCATCTTATTTCAATAATTTCAATTACAGTTAGATCTTAAATTTTCGCACATTGAGTACATGATTGCCATTAACGATTATTTTTACAAGTAAGTTAGTACAAATAGCAAGCAAGAAAGTGTGCAATTTTAGAACTTTTGTTTACCAACAAAACTATCAAAGCCATCAACTGAAACTATCAATTTTGGCGGCAACGCTTCTCAGAACCTTTGGCGTAAGAGCATAGCGCTTGTGTTGTTTACAGTAACTAAAAATATTCATATTTTTAGCAACTTTCGGTCGATGAACTTAATTAAATTTTTGGCGATGAAGCTGCATCAAGGACCAGTGTTAATCAATAGGAATCGTACATCACTCCAGTCATTATATTGCCGAATGCGTCGGAAAAAAGAGAATACATATTATGACGTACACTGGTGATAGAACAAAATTGAATCGTCGATAAACGACTTTTATTTAACAATCCGGTGGTTGAACTGAAGAGGAAGTTACAAGGTGGACGATTTGTCGAGAAATCCGTTACAAAATAAAGAAATCAAATTTGCCCAATAAGGATACCCCGTGCTAAGAGTGGCACAGTGCATACTTCGATTTATTAAGACGCCTAATTTAATTTACGGCTTTTTATGTTACCTTATGTATTAGTACGAATATGAAAGCAAAAATAAAAGTCGATGATTAGAAACAAAAATACGACAGCAATAATAAATTCTATTTCTCAGTAGACGCCATTTATATGTGGAACAGGAACACTATTGTCCTGTGGTTCGATTCGTCGTCTTGAATTGGACGAGGATGCGTTGGATGTGATAGCAGTGACAGTTACCTTTTCCGCCTCTATGCGACCAGATAGAAAAGTGGCTAAGCGTTCCTACATAGATAATCAAAATTGTAAATACTTCCCGTAAATTTCTGTGGATTTATATGTTACCAAATAGCTATTAGTGATGATTTGAAGACCTCCATAGAAGGTCAAGGCGCGCTTAATTAGTGATTCAGCTTCTTGCTTGGACAAATTTTTAACCTTATCCAATTTCGTAATGCTAATAATGCGGTTATTCAGAATTATAATGTGATGAACGACCTCAGTGGTGGTGTGGGATAACTTTCTGAAAAGTAGTAGCGAAAAAGGGAAAATAATAATGAGTACAAATTATATTTTTTTCCCTTTTTTGAAAACGCATCAAATTGAATTATTGTATATTACTTTGGGATGGTCGAAGCGATGTTTGCACTAAAATTCACAAGATGCACCAAACGTCGAGCTGACTCCCGTGTCAATAAGACAATTAACTGTTCCAAACTGACTGGCCTGGCTTGGTTTTCTGGCTCGTCTTCACTCAGATAATCCCAAAGTTCTTTGGCTTTTTGTAGAGCCAACTTTGGATCCGTAGCAATCTGCAAAGGTGACAAGAAAGTACAGTTTTGAAGAAAAAATAAAATAAATGAAATTGGAAAATTACATTGATCGTTTTTGAAGAGTTTCAAGCAATACTTCATTGGCGATGTGAGAGAAATCAAGTTTTACAGACTTGTTTTATTAAAAATATTAATAAAATATAAATAACCCTACCACTTGCAAACGCAAATTATCAAAATATGTCAAATATTGTCCAAATGTGTCAAATATTTCAAAAAATATGTAAAATATTCTTGTTTTGCCCGCATTTCAGTTTTGGCAACGTTGGCTACACTTCCTGAGTAAGTTCTTTTGTTTAAATTTTTTCATCTTGTCACATTGCAATATGAAGTGGTTGGTTGGCATAGGATGTTCAATATTTCTGCGCTTTTCTACCTTTGAAACAGCTTAAAATATTAATCATAAAAAGCTACAAAATTTGCATTTGTATGCAAGAAGTTATGAAGTAGTTTTGCATTTAAAAACTTTAGTTTTCAAAATTATTATTTACAATAAATTTTTAATTTATTGCAGATAAGAGAATGACATATTTAAAAAGTACTTGACTCAAACCCGTTATACAATTTGTAAATTAGAAAGCCAAATTTTTTAAAAAATCGCTTTTAAGAGTTCGAAACCTTGGATGAAGTGTACAGTAGGTTGTACTTACAAAAGGTGGGGACAAAATTCGTATGAGTGTTATGAATGATATGAAAAAATTGATTTATTATATCTCGAATTGGACGATCTAAGTCATCTGATATGTAAAAATTGAAAACAGAAATGGCTAAATGTTCAGAGAATATAAACTATTCATGTGTTAATCACTTAAGTGAGGGCGGGCGGTTTGAAAACAGTTAAATGGGCAAACAATTTTAATATAAAAAAATTATTTCATGGCGCCTGTCGTACGTTCAATATTTATTGTGGTATATGGAGATCCATATTGGTGACTGGTGGATCACGTGTAAATGTAACATGCCGTATTTTGACATTTGACACTAGGAGATCTCTTCTTCTTCATGGCCTGGTAGGGTTAGTCGGGAATAAGTGAGATTTCTTGCAAGAGGAATTATATTTGAACGCTTACCAACTCGGCTGCATAGATAAGGATATTAATGGCTTCTCTGCTTTGTTTCTTTAAGGCTCTTGCTTCGGCGAGAGTGCGCTGGGTTAGGCGACGCTTAAGCTTGCGTGAGAATCGCTGACCGTGATGTATTGCCTTAATGGCGCCTTTCTCGTTTTCAGCGATAGCACTCTTATCTTCATCGGCTGGTGCTGAAATGCATATATATATGTATATAATTATATTATAATATTATTGTGTACCATCTAGTTTTTAGGGTACGCGTTCTATAGAATAGTTTAACATTCATTAGTTGCACAAGAGATCATCTTTCACTTTAACGAATCCTCTTGAAACATTTTGGAGAGATTCGCTTATCAGTTTAGAGATTTCTTTCTTTTTTGATTTTTCGCTCGAAATAAATTACATTTATGAAGTTAATCAAATAGCAAAACATGATAACCTCGACATTTAATTTAAATAGGTGCACACATATGTATGGTTGCTTACAGTGTGTGCAAAATGAATGTTTATTAATTAATTTTATATTGGAAGTAATGTGATTTCAAGAAAACGCAAAAATTGTTAACGAAAAAATTGTCTTACCATCCGTTTGATCGCCTGGCAGAGGCACTAAGTATTTATCAACGAATTTGTCCCCAACAGTGAAGGCTTCGTCCAGCCGTTCTGCTGCATATGCCGTTAGTGAACTTTCCAACACAGTGCTGCCGATCTGTTTGACGGAATCGGCGCGCTTCAACACCGGACGCACGAGATGGTCCGACATGTATTCCTTTGTATTCCAATACATCTTCAAAAACTCTTTTCATGAAATATTTTAACATTGAATTGAATTAATCATTACCATTTCCGGTGGCAAATAAACGAGTGGTATACGCTGTTCCAATAAGTCCAAACTTTTACACATAACGCCATCTAGATGTTTTAGGGGCGCTTCGAAAAGTTTGACTGCCGGCTGCACTGACTCATAGGCGGCGAAAATTGTAGATTCAGCGGTTTCAAAATACCAATTAAATAGCCGATTAGTGTGTTTAACTTTGCCATACAGATCCTCGATACGCTTAAAACTTGTCTCGACCAATGGAATGCTGACAATTCTGTCGACAGATTCTAAGTGCAGTTTGCTGATCGGTGCATTAGCTTTGAAAGGAAATTATTGAAAGGTTTTGCAAATACATTTATGTTCCATTTGTTTACAACTAACCCATTATGAAAACAGTTGTATATTGGTTTGTTTTTTATCTCCACGACAGATTTAACACACTAATTCTTTGCAGAATTCTTTATTTGCCACTTTCCGTTTTCAATCGTATATTTCTATTGACATCCGCCCGAAAATGAATCTGTGTATTTCCACATGAAGACTAAGAGTCGACTGCTTGACACTGTGACTGCAAGTCGCTGATATTTTATATGAAATAACATTTTCGATCGTTGCTCATTTTTCGAGAAGTTGAACTAAAC